CTCATAAATCATTGGGAACTAAATAAAGAGTCCACAAGCGATTGCATTTCTAATTCTAGAACGAAAATTCCTCGCTTTATTTGCGCCTGGCATACTATAATCAAGGTTGTTTTTTTGAGACTTAACGTCACACTGCCGGCAACGAACTCGATTGCAATTCCACACCCACCCCACCCCCTCCCCTTTCTCATCTCTCGCCCTCTCCCTCTCGCTACTGGAAYGTCRTGCAAGTACTACATATGATAATTTTTGAGCTGCGCGKTGATTGGCTCGCTGCTCCCTAAGGATTATGGTGACGTCATATATTAGCATAGAACTTCGCCGAATAGACTATCCCGATTAGGTGTCCGYTATCTATAAGTGTCTTCATAGTACGATGGTCTAAGAGGTTAGCTAAAGGTATGCTCTAGTGGGCGGCTACCCCCTCACTCCCTGGCCTTTTGGTTAAGACTAAGTTTTATGTTCACTCGGGATAGCGTGGAAGGGCCGAAATCTCTAACCGTAACGTAAGCCGATTCGCCGCCTCAGCTTCATAGAATGTCTCGGGGGAATCGTCCCATCTTTTTAGATTTTTATTTTTATTATTTCTTATGTATTCCGGGGGGGGTGCATCTTCTCCTGAAGTGAAAGTTCTGAGTTCGAGTCCTGCTTCTGGAATTTCTCTTTTTTTTCGCTTGTTTATTGTTTCTTTTTCGCTTCTTTCTTGTTTTCTTTTCTTGTTTCTTTTTTTCTTTTCTTTTCTGTTGTTACTTCTTTTGTTTTTCTCTACAGATTTTCTCTTTTCGCAACTTTAAAAACATACTAGACGCTCTTGGAGCGTGAAGTCGGACTAGCTATTTTTGAATGTATATCATGGCGTAGAATATTATATTTTTTACTTCTAATACATAGTGAAAGCAAGAATGCGTGACCGTTTATTCACACGATACGATGTTCTTTTTGACTGCTCTCNTGGTATCCAGACTATGTCGCTAAGTGATATCATGGATAATAAAAGCATGGTGATACCATATCTAATACGTTTTTAATTCAAATTGTTGACCTCTCAGGCCAAGAAAATAAATACTTTTAAAAAGATGCCTATAAAATAATCAAAGTCGCCTTTTTGTTATTGATAAGCAAAGTTTCTTTTTGTTCTAATTTGAAATCTTTGCCCAAGCAAGACTCAAGACTGTCTAGCGCTAGAATTCTGTTCCGTAAGCATACTACTCGAAGCTCAATGCGATCCGCACATGCGCGTACTTCTGATGGCTAGACTGATGCATTCCGATGAGATCACAGATACCACATTTGTAAACAAATAGTTTTTTTATCACATAAAAGCGCAAGTAGAATCTGATCTTTAGTAATGATATATTCGTACATCTATACGTTTGAGCTTCCGGTCATGTAATAACACAGCCAACCCAATAGTTAACTCTTAAATTCTTAACTTCCGGTGGTCCAAACGCGACATAATACATAGATAGATAGATTGGCTAAAAGTTAAAACTTAAGTCGACCTAGCCTTCGGCTAGTCCGACTAAAAATGGCTTCCTGTGTTTTTTATAGCGAGAGTCCTAGGGGGACTGGCTACAATAAGCGTGACGTAGCATCCATCAGATGTTTTTTTTGGCGCACATCGTTGCTAATGAGAACTTGGTGACATGATTCTTTCGAATATTAATTACCGAATTTCGTTTTCTTTAATGTCAGATTCAAACCTGAATGACGGAATTTTGCTAGTATTTCTCTGCAAACTTCGAGACTGATTTGACTGAAACTACGTCACACGTTTGTTGTCTCCAGTCTCTCTAGGACTCTCCCGATACAAAAAGCACAGGAGGCCTTTTTTGAACTTGAATCGCCTCCGCTATTTCGATTTTTGAATTTCTTTTCCTCAAACCATATTTAATGATTGGTAAACTATCTTTAGGATGCACAAAAAATTCCTTTATATGCACTTTAACACCCTCCCCCCCCCCCCCCCCCCCCCCCCGCCCCTTATAAAATGCTGGATCCGCCCTTATAACTGACTGAACATACATAGGCTGGTTTTACATATGGTGAATATCGCTATACATCAGATCAATGCTTACCACATTCAGGAGATATGTTCACAGTGTGAATCTACATAGGTAGCGAAACTTTGAGAAATAATTATCGGAATGTCAATGGAGGACCACACAACAGTGGCTCGAATTGCCCTATGGCATAATGACGTCACAGTATGTTTACATTGTGATGCTCAGAAAGACTCGAAATTTGAACCTATTAACATTCTTTCCGAAAGTAGAACTTTAGTAAATCCAGTTTTGATGTACATCATTTATCAATGATAGCTCATCTACATAATATTTGATATGCAGTCACTCTGATACCATCTGGCGACCATAATGCTTAGCGTTAAAGCAATAGAATGTTTTAGTGTGACGTGTTTATGCGAAATGGGAAATTCAGCACCATTATATTGCGTATTCGAATGCACATAAACTATTTTCTATACACACCAGCAACCTGTATGCAACCGGAAGACGTACAGTAAAGTTTCCTTATCTGAATAACATTTTTGAGATATAACGCGTGCTCTTATTGGCTGATAACCATGTTTATATCAGCGAACAGACACGCACAGCCGTTTTAAATTATCTGAAGGTCCACGCGCATCACCCTTTACGATCGTCTATTTTGTTTTTCAAATGATCTCTTGTTGAAAGGTGCTTTCTAATTGGTTCAAAATCAAAGATGGCGAATTTTCGTAGAAAAAAACGCGCAAAGGTTCTTGGATGCATGTAAGCCTTTAATTATAAACTTTTTTCTTTATCCATCCTTATAATCTTTTTTTCTTAATTTTTAATATTTGAATATTTCTTACTTTGTACTTTAAAGGCCCGTTTACACTCGAACATGCTTGAAATTTAGCTGAAACTCGCGGCGATTTTCGATCGCGCCGACAATCGCAGGGCTGTTCCCGTACGATTTGAGGTGCACGAGAACAAAGTGGGGATTCTTGCGCGACAATCGCGCTGCAAAAAACACAAGTGTAAAACGGTCCTTAAGATATACCACTTGTTATTTATAAAGTATAGGTGGGCGCCAATGTTTACGTTCAAGCTAATTTGCATAAAAGTCAGAAATCGAATTTCAAGACACAAGAAAATCAAGCCCATACATGAAAAGAACTCATACCTGTTGAAGGCAATTGGTTAAATATTTCAAGAGATATCAAGCGACAAATTTGCAAGATTTTCTAAAGAAATGACCGTGGTTGGCATTATTTTGCCAACCACTGAATGTTTTCTATAGATTTTGTAGTTTTTTGTATAGTTTTTGCCGATATCTCTAAATGTAAAAAAATCAGGTTTTGTTGACATTGATATAATCTTGAATTATATGAGTTCAGATTGCTTATTTTTTGAATTTTATATTTTGGATGTAAACAAACTACGTCATCGTACGCTATTCACATAGGTGGGTGGTGAATTTACTTGAAGATACAAAACGATGGTTGAATCAAGTAGACCTCTTTGGTTGAAGAGTTGAAAAGTGAATGAATCTAAACTAAAAGTATTGGATGAGGAGGCCTGGCGTCATAGAATACCCGCAGGGAATGTTGTTTATCGCTAACGTCTGTTTCTCTTTGGAAAAGCTGTAAAATATGCTGTCTGGACATTAATTGTGCGCAATGCTGAAACTTAAGACGCTCAGCAATTCATCATCAAAATCATTTTTTCGCGCGACAAAAGGCGCATAAGGCTTCCAAACATTCTTTCCCAACTATCTCTCTCAACAGAATTGGAAATACAGGGGCGTCTATCCGTCGTTATAGATCTTAACTCTGAACACTCAACGAATGACATGAGAAATGAAGCACTGCTGCGGACACAAGACGTGTCTAATCTTTAAAATGTAAAGCCCAAGAAAGGAAAATTGTACTTTTGCTGAGAAAACACGAAAACGGAATTTTGGGATTGTTCAAAGGGTCATAAAGAAGCGCGAGGGTTACTTTTACCATCATGCCTTGCTTTAATGGATGACGACACAGCACTTTAATATAGAAGTTGATAATTAAATAATTAATAATTAATTAAATAATTTGACAACTCTATAAAAAAAATCACTTATTTATTCGCTTATAATCCTATATTAGGGTCAATTTTTTAGGACTATTATTATTATTTTTATCTGATATTTCTTTCCACGGCTCTTTGTCAGTTAAGTGTTTCTCTCCAAAGGTATCTTTGCTTTGTTTCCTTTCTTCAACGTATTCAATAGCGTCTTTTTCCGATTCTCTTTCAATTTCGTACTTGTGATATATAATTAACGGGCATTTTCGAATGATATGGGTTTCAGAGCCACATTTATGGCAAGTTCTACTAGTTCGCTTTTCATATGGACATTTTTTCGCTCGATGACCACTTTTGTTGCAGTTGAAGCAAAGGGAAGTGTATTTGCGCGCGCCTTGTTTGGTGCGGTTTTTACGCGACGCGCCCTTCACATTCCCGCCATCCGTTGAAGTCACGGATACAGCTATTTGTCCTTTGTCGCTGTCTGTGATCTTGAATAATACTTGTTCTCCTTCTACAAGGCTACGGTAACCATTGGATTTGATCGCGCTCTATGAGAAATTAATACAAGAAAATTAATAGTGCTTTTCATATAAAAATTCTCTGGCAGACCGTGCGCTCTCGTTGGTTGACGAGCGTTCTTAGGGTACAGAGACATAGTTTCCGCTGATGCGCTCGAAAAAGACCGAAAAATTTTATAAAAGTAATATAAAACAACCTCTTGTATCTATGTTCTTAACCAGAGTATTAGCCCTAGATGGAAATGTTTTTTTACAGAATGCCCGATACTGAAGTTACTCTGTCCTCTGAATAAACAATATCATTAATTAAGAAATATAAAACTTCCGCTCTGTSGATGTTCTGTGATATGGTATTTTTGAAGCAAGCGAGTATAGCGAGTACGGCGTACAGCAGTTTTTTGCGAACGTGAACAGTTGTCAAATTGCAAACAATGAGATTTCTTTTAGAGAATATGAATAGATCAATAATAAATTGGTAGCTTATGCACAACCCTTAATGCCAATAAAAGCATGGAAGACGCGGCATAAYAGCTACCAAGCGACCCACATCTGTTCACGGAATACAGCTCAGATCAAAACYGGATGGTTTTCACTTACCGAGGAGGAAAAACCGCGCGCTATTTTCAATTTGCGCGAGACGAAATGCGGCTGAGGGAAGAAAAATAGATCAGTRTGTATTGAAACTTAATAGATTTTTATACTGCACGATGTAATTTGAGAACATATTTTTATTACTTTAGGAGTGATATTGTCTTAAGCTTCAAAAATGAAAAAAAAATGGCGGCCATTTTGAAGAAGTGTCAATTCGGACGAACTCAACTCTCTTTATGTGAAATTGTTTCCTAATATCTCAACGAATTTATTCTTGATAATGTTTTTCGATTTGTCAAACTTCTTGCAAACACCTGGTTACAAATATTGTCTAAAAATAATTAAAAAGCAATCAGCAAAATAGTTATTAACAATCGCGTTAATCAATATAAACGAGTCGAGTAATTAATAAATTAATGTTAGCATCCATTCATTTGTCGTCAAGACAAGAAATTCCCAGGACCAGGTATTTATAATTTTTAAAAGCTTGTGAAAAAAGGGTTACATTGCTAATCGACAATTAGTTTTTTTTTTGATTTTTAATATTTTTAAATCATGAGAAAACGTTTTTTTAAACATGTGCATCAGGTATGTTATTGTCATCACAAATGCAGCGATGGAAAGAAGATTACATATGAAGTGACTTTAGCTCGTATTTTAAGCCGCTTTTTTTTCGCTTCATAAACGTTTTCTTTACAGAACGCTAAGATATTCAAATTACTGTGACAATTTTGAGCTATACCGACTCCCGAGCGTGAAGTTAGATTGGTATAACCGTAACATTATTGTTTCTAAAGACCGCTGCGATCAGTCCAATGCTTTCCATTGAGTCAAGAATAATTATAATATCTTTGCTTTTCCTCCGTTTTAAAATGCTAAACTGCCGACGTATGCAAAAGGCCCTTAATAGCTTTCCTTCATAATGAACAACATTGTTTTTGTCAAATATTCGATCATTATAAAGTTTTTCCTATTGAAATAAAGAAGAATACATGTTAGTAAAAGCGTGCGTCGCTCAAAAATCTCTTTCATTCACAATCATTTTTGAATTCCCAAGTATTGATTTTAAAATTGTTGTTTCAAACATTGAGTGCCAGAGTAAGTCTATTAAACTCAGATTTTGAATTTGTCATATTTTGATTGATTGAAGTATGTATAAATTATAGTAARAAATAATTTTTTGATCTGTCTAACTTATACCTGGTGAACAAAAACATCCTCGCCTCCGTCGTCTCTTGATATAAACCCGAAACCTTTTACAATGTTGAACCACTTTACGGACCCAGATATAGGAGAAMTCTCCGCTGAAAATTAAATAAAACAATTTCATTTTGAGCGAAGAAGGTTAAGAAATACAGCAATAGCATTGGGAAATTAGGCTTCAAAAATCGCGCGCTTCGCGGTGTTGTTTACCGTCTTTACTTCAAGAATTTCACCCTTTTTAAGCAAGACGCCGGCATAACATATAGCCAATTATTTATAAAGCAGCCTTTGGCAAAAGCGTCTATAATAAAATCAACTAACTAAGGGTCTCTACGTCGCTTTATGAAAAACAGAAAAAAATCAAAAAACAGCCGGTTCGTGAATACGAAGGAATCTCAGCTTCTCAGATTACAACCRAGTCCTTCCATTTTGAAAGTCTAGCAGTTCGACGACCACATGTTTTCCTTGATTAATTCTAAGTATCTTATAAAGAAAACTCCGCTTTAAAACACATTTTAAAAAGCAATGGCTATCAGAGCAGTAGCGATGGATGCATCCTTTCCATTTTACTGTATTAAACTCACCTGCCATTTTCTTCATTGAAAAATGTTTGACAGTTGTCAGCTCTCTGATCTTTTCCCTCCAAATTACGATACGTTTGTCCCTACTTGTCCTCGTTTCTCGCTATGTTTTTATTTAAATTTTCCTCTCTGTAGGGAGACAGTATCGTTGACATCTGCTAGATTATATTATCTGATGTTTTGTACAAAGGTATTGTTCTGTCCTATCATAATTACGCCAAAACCACCCAATGGCGTTGAAGAAGCATTTGGGTAATGAACTGCTTCGGGATAATAATCCCACAACAACACCACTAAAGCTAGTTTTTCACGCAAACCACATCAGTTTTTCTAAGAAATATCTCCTTGAACAATACTACAATCATTTGAATTAAGTTTTTATTCAAAAACAATGAGAAAGTTGCTTGATTTACAGACAAAATTTCTAAGAGGAGCGAAGCTGTGACATATTGGAAAACAACAGCTGGCGACTTAAGAAATAAAGGAAAGCACTTCGCGCTAAGTCATAGCAAAAAATTTACATCATATTAAAAAATCCTTCTTCTTTGCAAAGATGAAATTTTTGTATTTATTTTTGTTCGGAAGTATTTTTTAAATACTTCGAAACTTCGTTGTTATAATACTTGAATTTTATCAGCATTTAATTCGCATGAATTATTCGGCGCATTTAGGAATGTAAAAATGAATATGTGTACTCGATGGAAGGAAAAATATAAAAAAAGATTAAAAAAATTGTGCTTCGATTGTATTTCATGCACTAAACAGACTAAACAACATACGCGAAAAGAACATTTTGAAATTTGTTTAGATAAAGCATAAAAATTTGTTCCTCTTTTTTCTTCACTTTTTGAAAGTTCGCAAATGATATAAAGAAATTACTTCTGAMTTGCTTTCTTAGTTAACTATATTTTTAAAGCCACTTTTAACTTTAAAAATCGCTTAAAACCACAAGAGTTACCCATAGCATTTTCACTCAATGCGCAGCACTCGATTGGTTTCCCAATCAAAAAGCCAATCAAATGTCAGCACTAAAATGATTCTGACAAGTCAGTTAGCTAGACTATCTTAATCCAATAAGTGATTCGAAATCAGTCTTCTTCCTTCTGTTTCTTAATTCAAAAATATTCCGAGTTTTTGTAAACAGAAAATGGCGTCGTTGGACATTGCCAAAATCAGCGATTTTTAAGCGTATTTTTTTGCTGTCTCTGACTGAATATSTAATGTCGGCAAACTATTTGACAGTCACTGATGCAAAATGCATAGACACTGATGAATAGAGTGGAAAATTATTTAAAAAGACATTGTATATCTTTTGTCATTGTACTCTTTGTGAAAACATAAAAATAAGTGACTTATAGCTGCTTACGGTCGTGCAATTTTCATTGAACATTACGAACGCTCTTATGGTCGTCCATCTTAATGAGGACATCACGAACGAAAAACAACAATATGGTTCAGTTTGTACTTTTAAAAATCCCATGTACATGCAGCCCATAAATAAATTCTGTATTTTAATTGCACTTAATAAATTCATAAATATTTTAATAAATAAACACAAAAAAATTGACAGGACGAGAAACGCACGCTTTACTTGCTTGGTTCGATGAGCGCGCGTTTTGTATTTGTAGATTACCGTCCTGTTTCGATTTGTGTGTGTTTATTAATTAATACTTACCTATTAATTAATAACATACAATGAAAAATACATAATTAATTTAAACATGCAAGGGATGGACTGCCTGTGTGTGATTAGAGGTATAAGGACATGCATAGTCTTTATTGCAGAAAAACTGCACTGCAATTACATGCAATTTCATTTTATTTTTTTCCAAGAATGAATGCAAGAGTATGAGAAATTTTTCCATTTCCCTCTTTGAGGACACTTTTCATACAAAAATTAAAAAGCATATTTACATATGTACAGTTCTACAAAAATCACTACTTTACAAATACATTCATTAAGATATGTTGTGATAAATAGGAAAAAATACGTTATGTACAACTTATTTACACCTGATACAAATATGTTGTCATAATGAATAGAAAATTTGAACTTCAGTATAAAAGAATCTATTAAAACGACAAAAGAAGATCTATTTCTTTTGACTAAAGTACAAAGGTACTAGAGTGGTTCTCATTAACCCGTGAAACAAAGTGTAATAGTCAAAGTGTAATAAAGTGTAATAGCCAAGAAATAAAACAAAAGAGACAAAGTGTAATAAAGTGTAATACGCTAAAATGTATTTCACGGGTTAATGAGAACCACTCTATTTCTCCATGACAACATTTTCGTAAGTGAGTGAATATTCGGATGAAGTTTCCCTTGTGAAAGAGGACGTAGATATTCGCTTTAAATGACCCAAGCTCTCTTTGTATGCTTCGTTTTGTTACAGCTACGCCTATATCTCAAAGTCAAGTTTTTGGCTCAAATTGGAGCCAAATTCTTAATTTTTGCAGTAAATTCTACCTTGAATTAAAATGTTTTTTTCCATCTCAAAAAATAAACAKATTTATCGCCCATTCTATGTATCGCAAGAAACATAAAGTTATAGGACCGGTTCACACTACGACACAAGCACACGCACAAGCWTAGGAACGTTAGTSAYAYGTGAAGCATTTGAAAGATAAGTCGAAGAAGAAGACGGCGAAAACGTTTCGAAACCCTATCAACATAATTCAGATTTGCATGCTTACGTAAAGCGTGAACCAGCTACTATTATAGTGTGAACTGGCCGTTCGGCATTCTCTTACCCAGACAGTTTCCAAATTGAGAATGATCTCGGTACGAGAATGGCTGTTGAGMTACAGACACGCTAAATTTACCACAGCATCGCTGCCTTAATTTTCTTATAGTCGCTTTCCACGGCGCTCATTGACTCCATTGCCATGGCAATAGCTTCTCTTATRCGATTACAGTTCGCATCGATGTTCGCCAAWGCRGCTTTCGCGCGCCTCTGGGAAAAACCCGCACTGACCGCACGATCGAACGCAGATACCCTTAAAGTRGAGATTTTTTCTTCGACTTCTTTAAGGTGATTGTGTGAGGTTGGGCCTTGAGCTAGGACTTTCTTGGATGCTTTACATAGCTAAAATATAAAGAAAAGATTTGTAAAATAATACTTTCTGCTACAAAACACAGAGAATTGTTCGTATTGGATATAGTTTACTAAGAAGGAAACAGTTGTCGCATAATGAACCAAAACMCCTTAATCAAGAGCTCTCTCCTCCCATTTTTTAACCTCCCATTCCCCCGATACATTTTTTCCTCTTGTTAGGTGATGTCTTTGAGGACTACCAGCATTCTATCGGGAAGAGGGGAAGCTATTTTAAAACTCTTAAAGACATAATCCATCTTTAACACAGCCGACATGTCTTTTACAGCCGTTACCTTTGATAACTATAACATTTTTTAAGTTGATCATGAGGACAACAGACATTGCATCGTTGAGCAGCGGAAGCAATGTCTTCAATTTGTAAAGATATTAACTAGAAGACACAATCCATCTCTAAAACAGCTGAAAAAGTATCGTTTAATACCGTTATCTTAAATAATCATAGGTAGATCAACGGGCTGAAGCGCACGTGACACATCTGCCAGTTGTAACAATATAGTGTTCAGAAAACGAAAGAGTAGCTTGAAAAAGGTAAAATAAAATCGCATTATTTAAAAAGGTAAAATAAAATCGCATTATTCGATTAAAAGTTTTGACCAAATTTCACAGTAAAAAAGAATAGGTACAACTCCCATAACCCAATATTCGATTTTCCATGTTCTTTTTTCTTTCMATAGTAAATTCCATCCACATTGCATTTAATCCCATTTCCCAACTTCAAAAGAACAGAATACCAGCTCCCATTTTACTTCAAGGAGAATCCCCTTATGTTGAGAAGTAAAAGTTTGCTTTTTAACCATTTGTGGATAACTAGCTTTTTCCATATCTGGACACCATTTTGTCATAGATTATTGATTTGTGGTAGGTGTGGTCATGCTACTAGATACTGTCATGGCTTACCTCATTATGAAATGTTCTCAAAACTCTGTCCACAGGACCAGCAATGTCTTTGACTTCATCTTCTTTCACCACTAATCGTAAATATCCGCCATCATTATGGACCTATGGAAAAAAATTGGATATTACATGGCTCATGGAGATATGGATTTTATCTTCCAGTTGTAAAAAGATATTTCATCACGAGAAGATAAAATTCATATCTCCAAGCAACCATGTAATATTCTGTTTATTATATAATTACATATGAAAGCAAATTATCTTGTAAAATACCATTTTATTAATTCCAATAGAGAAACATAGAATGTGTTATTTTCACTAGTGAAAAGGTGAGTTGTCTGTAGTGAACAGAGCCCATTGGCTTCCACAATAGCCGATTTGTATTATGGCGTCATTAACTACAACTACCAGAATGCTTTGCCAACTTTCTTTTGTAATGCAATTAGTGCCAATTGTTTTATTAATCTCCAAGGGGATTAAACATCTGAATAACAATGAAAATGCACAAGGCTCTCTGGTAGTTGTCGTTAAGTTACACCATCATGCAAATGGCCTATTAATAATATCGGTAGCAATGTCCGGCGAATAGTAGACTTTTTTTCATGACTTTCTGAAACACAGGCTGGATATCCCATTAGATGCTCTTTAGGGTGGGATGCTCAGACCGGTGAATGTTTTGAACCCTTYTCAACAAGCTTCATCTAGGCRTTTCAAAATATATCTGGAAGCAGGCCAAGGTTTATGATAATGGTTTGTTATATCMAACATACCTCAAGTCCATCTTCATCATCTTCTGTTCTTATGAGTTCTTTTAGTCCACCAATGCACTCCTCCAGGGAGGCCTTAGTAGAGTTTGTCACCCCAGCTACTGAGCATGCTCTCTTGAAGTTAGACATTGCTTCAATTAGACCCATACTGAAGTTCTCTATYGTCTCTATAGAATTATTGCAGTCCTTGAAGAATACATCAAACTAGATGGGAATGAATATGAAAAAAAAATTATGATAAATACATAGAAAAAAAAAACAAAGGAGAGAATATAAGATTAAATGGTAAATAACACCAAATAGGGAAATAAATAAATAAATAAATAATGTGAACATATATAAATATACAACATCCACCAAGCAATCATCCAACCAMCTAATCARCAAATCAGCCAACCAACCAATCACTCTTACAACTAACCAACCAACTAATCAATTAACCAGCCAACTAACTAACAAGTACAACTAGTTAACCATCCAGCCAACCAACCAATCACTCATACAACTACCAAACCAATAACCACCAATCCAACTAATTAACTAACAAACCAACAAATACAACTAACTAACTAACCAACTAACCAACCAACCAGCCAACCAATCATTCATTCACCCAAACAACTGCACCCAATTAACCAACCACCCAATCAACCAACCAACCAACTCAACAAACTGGACCCAACCAACCAAATCAAACAAAGCTACACAATTTCTAGGGGAGAACTGGGTCTAATTGTTACCTCTGGCATTTTAATCACCAGAAGAGGGACAAACTCCTGTTTTTCTTCTTCAAAGGGACTCAAAGTCACAAACTTTCTTTCCTCTGTAGATTTTTCTCCTGAGAAAATCCCCTTCTTCTGTTGTCTGCGTTGTTGCAGCAAGTGTCTTACAAGAGACTGAATGGCTGCATGAACACTCCCATCACTCTCCTTGGCAGAAACCGTTACACTTTGAAATAATATTATGAAATGCATTAATAATTCATAAGGTAAACACAATGGAAAATCATTGCCGTGACAGCATTTATATATGGGCAAGAGATTTGTCCTGATTTGCATGCGGCTTTAACCTGAATTTTCTCTTAAAATGATATATTTTATCTTGAAATTTTTTGAAAAATATGCTTATAGCTTTTGTTGGAATTTGATAAGTAATATAAAATATTCTCATCCAACCTTTACTTACATAAAAAGTATGTGTTAGTAACTATTTAGAGTTTATTTCATGGACATTTTCAGCACTATTTTTTGATCATGTAAACTGGCTTTGATTAAATTGWATATTTTACCTGCCTACAAAGCCATGTTGTCTTGCAACTTGTTCAAGAATCTTCATCACTTCAAGAGTTGCATCATTGTTGTTATCTTCCTCGCTTGTACTTTGTAACATTTTTAGTTTATCTATTTTGTTGCCAACTAATAAAATGGGCAGTGAACGTTCCTTTTTATCATTTTGAGTTACTGCAGTGTCTGTTTTTGGTGCGATAATGCTGTTATCTTGTGTGTATGTTGCATTACTGACAATGTCTTGCTTCCATGTTCCTGCCATGGTGATACTGTCAATGTCGTCCATGTCAACTACCACTGAAAACAAGAAACATTTTAATAGTCTTCTTTAAAGTTCTCCATGCCATCTTGACATTCTCATAYCCAGACCATTCTCAGTTTCCAAAGAGTAAACACAAAGACTCTKGCTGGAGACAAACTGGAAGTYCCAGAATCKGGGTGATATAAWACTGAAGATGCATGMAMATTTTTAWGGCAATCAAATCAGACACTCATTTGTCTTCAACCAGAGCCTTTGATTTTCCATTAGGAAACTGAGGATGGTCTGGGTAAGAGAATGCCATCTTGATAGGCAGCCCTGCCTTTGCATTGAACCAAGACAGCCCTTTGAGTACAATGCAATGATAGATTCCTGTGAATAATTGTCTGTGGGGTTGGAAAGGTTTCTCTCATTACACACTAAACAGTCACCTTGATTAGACGCAAAACAAAACTACCTTTCAAGACGGTGCAAGGATCCATGAAGGAGAGTATTTTATTTAATTTTTGCATAATTTATGAATAAGCAAATGACGAATGAATAATTGGATGATTAAGCAAAGATATGAATAAAAAAATGATTGAATAAATGACTAAATGAATTAATAAATATATTTGGGTCTCGGCCATAACATTCTCATTTAGTTTTATTGAATTGTGAGTCTATTGAAAGACTGTTTAAATACCAACCCATTGCAGCATCGACATCCTTATAATAACTCTTTCTTAAATCCATTTCCTCTCGGCCTGGTAGATCCCATAATGTAACTGACACAATAACCTCATACGGAATATTGACTTTGCGTACAGCATTGCCRATGCATACTGACATGCTAGGCTGATAACTGAAATCAAAYTGGTTCTTTATGTAWCGCARGAAAATACTTGTTTTTCCAGCCTCAGGGTCGCCTGAAATAAACCATAYGTTGTAATAAAGAATTGTGTTTTACTTCTTTCCTAGSTTGATGCTAGGAAGGTCTTAGAAATTATTCTCAAGCCTTGAACTGAGCAAAATATATTTGACTAACTAACTGAGTGTCGAAGATCACAACTGATCATCTAATCACCATTATAGTAATAAAAATGATAAATTAATTAATAAATCAAAATAATTATTAAATGATAACAATAGAGAAGGGAATATGACCTGTGTTTGTGCATAATTTTGAAAGCAGATTTGAAGGTCTCTAGGTAAGAAATGCTTACTTGAAGAACTTAGTGATTGTACATGTAGGCAATTTTTCTTGTAGATTTGAATGATTTTTCTCAGCAGATTTATGTACTCCAAAATATCGTACCTTCATACATTCAGCCTGCTGCACCTTAGCACTTCATAAATCTAAGTTCTAAAATTTATCATTCCTTTTTTTACATGATAGGGGGCTAACAGGTAATTGAATACTCTATCTATCAATGAAAGGTCTAAATGTATTGTTGYAAACTCAGAAATRTTGAGCATTCCCAGGCAAATTGCGCCTATTTTTGTCAGTGATATATTGTTAGCTTCTTGCCTAAAATACCACATTGATATTGCTTTTAGGATTACATAAATATTCTGCATATACAATTATAGGKCATTGATGTGTAACATGGAAAATTATTGCATGCTGTAATGTCAAAATATAAAAAAATGTATTGTTAGCCCTTGTCCAATAAAATGCAAGAATATATTCAAAATAGAATAAATAATAAATAAGTACAGTATCAAAAATGATTTTTTCCATCTTTCCTTCAAACTAAGGAGGTCATGATAAAACTTGTCAATTTTTTTTAGATTTATTTCAGTCTTCGAYTTCTAATTGGAATAAATTAGTTCTTTCTTATAAACAATTAGGGATTAAAGTATGAAAACTTTGACAGATTTCAACAGCAAAAATATTGAAAATATCATGTTATCAGTGAAATGCAGCGCCGGAAATATGAATTGGCTTAATTTAATTTTWRYTTTTCTCGAGTGTTTTTGACTTCWTTGTCTTGAAGCTGAATATTTTGGTAACGAAGACAAACACATTTGAGGAAGATTATGTTATCCTCGAATAAAACCAAACCGCTTTCAAATCAAATCAAATAAATAGCCTTTATTTCTTAAAATACTGCCTCAATTATACCATGAATAAATACTTAGGTAATAGGAACAAGGAAGAAGTCAAAAACTTCAATTTTGTAAGCTTATCAAAAACTTGACATGACTTACCAACTAAGACGATTTTAAACGAGGGAGTTTGCTCAGAAACCTCTTTTCCTGTAACCAAAAATAGAGATTTATAGTTACTATCACGAAGTAGACAGTTCGTTTGGTATTTCTTAGCTAGTTTTATCAAAAAATCTGTATTACCTGAGCCACAACTCACTCCAGCACCCATCTTGGCAACCTAATGATTACATGTACTACGGAGCCCGAGGGATTCTCGAGCGATGGAGGGACATATACTTCGAGACAGGAAACCCGAACTATTCTTGCAGAAAGGCAGGAAAACGTCAGAGGAAAACATAAAGAACGCAAGTGAAAAATAAGCAAAAATGCA